TCAGGCAGCACCAATGGCAGGGACGGAAGCAGCACTTCGAGCAGTACTCAGGTTCTTGAAGAGTGATATGCATGTTGCACTGGTTTTCCCTTCGCGAGATCCTTCTTTGGAAAGCCAGGTTGGTGAGATGCAGTTGAGGACGATGAACTTGCATTGTTTTTCGGACGCCAGCTTTGCTCCGTATCGGTTCAATAAGAGACGCGGAATTTCCGGTGGATGCGTGTTCTTCGAACGATCGCTTGTTCGCTCGCTGGCCCGTCAACAACATGCACTGTCATTGTCTTCATGCGACTTCGAAGCTGAGTTGTATGCATTGCAGTCTGTTTGCCAGGAGTCCATTGCTTTTGGTAAACTGGTTCACCGAGTGTTGTTCAGTCTTGAGGAGATGGATGAAGCCGATCCAGTACATGTGTTCTTGGAGTCGGACTCCTCCTCAGCATTGCAGCTTGTGAAAGCGTTGGACATCCCGAAGAAGAGTCGGCATGTTGAAATCAGGTTGTTATGGATTCGAGAGCAGCTTGATAGTGGACGATTGCATGTTTTGCATAGGTCTGGTGAAACCAACCCTGCAGACTTGTTCACGAAGTGCCTTGGAAGTCGACTTTTCTTTACTCATCGATATACCATTGGTCTTGTAAAGCTTGGTGGCTTGTCGGAGATGCTAGAAATCTTGCAATATGCCGTGCAATCAGGTGCTCGAGCAGCACTGGACATCGCAATTGTGGAGGTGTGTTGTTCTGAGTACTCAAGCATTAGGAAGGCCTGTGAGTATTCACGAATTCCATATGTTGGAATCACAGCACGAATGCAGGCGAGAAGCACCTTTTCCCGTGTTCGCACGTGTGTACAGCAGTGGGAACGCTCAGCTTTGTGGGTACATGTACATGCATCAACACCATGTTCATCTGGATCACCCTTGAGGAATTTTGGATCGAAGGACGCGGTGACGGCATCGGAACAGGAGTGGCCAGAGATCATTTCATCTGTTGGTGACTACCTTTCACTAGGACACAGTTCATCTTTTGAGTTGCCACAGGTGAACGCCATTTGGTCACGACCTGAAACCAAGGACGTTCTTTCTCAGCATGGACTTGTGCATGAAAGCCTTGTTCGCTTGTGCAGGACTGGATGCACAACTGTACAGGGAGAGCCGGTCGGGAAGACTTTGAGGTTTGTCTCGACGTCAAAAGGTTTCTGCACCGTTTTGAGAAGACGCTTTGGTACATGTCCTTGCAACTGTGAGCGTGCAGCATTGGACAAAGTGGACTTTCCGGACACTGGGAATTATACAAAGCGGTTAGCAAGAGGAATTGTAGATGCAGTTCGTATTGGTCGAAAGGACCCATGCTTGTTTGACTTTGAATGTCAAAGGTAGTGGATTTTTGTGTTTAAAAGGGGACAGTCTTCAGTGAACTTCATTGGACTTCTTTCTTTCTTTCTTTCTGTGTTTCATCATTTTGTTTCAGCTTGATGCGTTGAAGATCTGTGATGGTTTTGGCCTTAGCTTCGAAGAAGGCACGGATCTTATGGCGAGACACTTAATAGCTTTCAGCAGTGCATGAGCAGCGTGTTACAGAAACAATGCACTCAGAAATTGCATGGAATTTTAACTTTGCACACGTGATGTTGCAGTATACACATACTTTGTACATACTTGAAGGTATGACGCACGACACTGAGACTGTTTGTCACTTTTGCGTTTGCCTTCACTTCCTTTTGAAAGCCTGGATAGGCGAACGGAGTTCCAACTAGCTCGGTCACTTTGGTGCCCCGGTGGTTGTGTTTGGGCAGCACTGTAGCAAGCGCAGTGAGCCATGTCAAGTCCCAGTGGGTCAAAGAACCGATGGACGCCAGAAGATGAGTGGGCGCTGTCTCTTCTCATGCAGAAGAGGATGAATGCCGACACAACCGGCAGCTTTGGTCCACCTTCCTTGCCAGAGAAAGGTGGATATGGATTGAAGACAGCAGGAGCCATGCATGACGGCTCAAAGCGGCGGCTGGTTGCGGATTCAGAGACTTCTGCAGAGTGGGAGCAAGTGGATGCCAGCGGCCCCTCGTCATCGTATGCTGGCAGGGTTCGACCGGATGACACGGCCTTGGAAGAGGCCATCATTGCGGCATTGGATGCCTCACCTGTGATCGGGGCGGCAGCAGCTCAAGAAGTTGCTGATGGAAGCCAAGGGCCTGTGGATTTACCACAGAGCATCGATTTGCTGGAAATGTGGGGGAAAACTAGGTCTCATTTGGCCAGTACAAAGCAAAGTACAGCTACCAGGAGGTGGCCACGGATAAGACCTTGTGGGATTATAGAAAGTGGGTTCGCACTCACATCAACCAGCGGACGAGCAAAGGAGCGGCATTGGACTTCGCCAAGTATTTGAAAGCCCATGATGCGCGTCATGGACAGGTGAAGCAGATGCCCGTGATCCCAGGAACTGCAATTCCACGGCAGTTCAAGGAGGACGATCCATGACTTGGACGAGTATGAGCTGGTTGAGCGCTACATTTTTTTGGAAAGCAGCTCGCTGGACTATGTTGAATTTTGGAATGGTGCAAAAGGCTCAAAAGGGGGTGTGAAAATCTAGATGGATGGCGAACATCCCATGGGAGTGATCTTCTTGCACGCATGGACGCCGAGCGCAACTTTTTGCGCACTGGATATCATCAATGGATGATAGCAGAAATGAGCATTTGAGCGCATTTGGAAGCACAGCTTTTTGCATGCAAAGTATCGTCAGTGGACGATAAGAAAATGGACGTTTTTGCGCAACGAAAGCATACCTCTGAGAGGTATGGGTATGAGCACACATTTTTCCACCATGAGCATCACCTTTGAACGATGCACAAACCACAAGTTTCACAGCAGAAGTACGAATGAAGTTTTGGGAGTAGAGATTTCTTTGCGAAAGGCATAGTCATGCCAAGAAATGCATTTTTGAATGCAGTGCATATCATGACGTGATCTGCGCGCATGCATTTGTACAACCAAGTACACACGTTTGAACGCACAGTGTACATTGGTGGTTTTGGACATTTTTCAGTGCATGATGAACATGTGAATGTTTTGAATGCACAGAGCATTTTGGAAAGCATTGCATTTCAGATGTCTTTGTAAAGACTAGACACGAAATGTTTGCAGTCATGTCCGTTGGATCAGTTCCAACTTGTGGACGCCGGCATGTGGATGCCGCTTTTTCTTCTCAAGAGAAGAGGGCCGTACAGAAGAGGCCAAGGACAGTGAACGAATTTCACGTTCGGTTTGCGTAAAAGGAATTGCCCGGAGCTTTGAAGGTGTCTTTCAACCTTTTGCTTTGCTTTGTTGTGTCTTGTCGTGTTGTCACACGTACATACGTACACGTACTTGTGTATATAGGGCATATCCACTTCGCGTAAGCTCGCGCTTTAATTTCGTGTAACACGTTACGCTGGTAAGGTTGCGTAAACGTACACAGGCAATTCGGTATCAAGGTCTTTGAGGCATGTTGCTCTCTAATCCTGCGCTTCACAGGGGTGAGAGGACGGCGTGGCTGGGTCTCCACTGACTGGAGTCCCTTGCATTGGGGCTGTGTTGGCAGGTTCTCCAAAGTGACAGGCCGTTGCATATTTTCTGGGGAGTGCGGTGTGATAGCTGCAGTTGTGATGGCTGTAGTGTGCTGAGCGCATACCATTCGAACCCGGACCTGCTACTTGCAGAGGCAAAGGTTAACGCACTTCAGTGCTTGTTTCAGCATCAACAATCATGGTGCTGAAGTGCGCTTGGAGTCCATGGAGTCACATACACGTCTACGAAAATGAATGGCGCATGAATGCGGTTCACCTGCATGAAAGCATTCTTGGCAGTTGTGTGCCCTGCTGATTGCAAGGCACAAGTGAGCTGAGAGCTGCAGAGCTGTTCTGCCTCGAGTTTGCCTCAAGTTGTGTTCCACCGGTCATGTCGAACATGGTCCATGAGATAGTCGTCGTGGGGGCAATGGCAACTGCCTGGAAGCAGATTGTGGAGCTGTCACCGCCTTCTTGGCGGTTGTTGTTGTGGTTTGTGGTTTTGATTTGCGTATTACGCGGCTATCTCAGGCCATTTTGCTTTGGAAACATGTCACTCCAGCAGTGAGGAAGAGCTCTAAAAGGAGCGAGTCGAGAGCTCCAGCAAACGAAAAAACCAGTGGCCTCAAGTTCGTGCCTATTTGATCATTGCAACCCCACAAGTTAAAGAAACAACGCATATCTTTTAAAACGTTCTTGTACAGTAACCTTTCATGTAACAATCATGCCATGAATTGCACGCCTCAGAAGTCGACATATTATTTTGCAATGCTCTTTGCCATTTTGACGTTGCAGAATATGACCTTTGCCTTGAATTCATAGTGAACCTTGCTGACTTGATATGT